AAAAATGCTTCAATCCCAAAGCATTTTAAAAATATACTTTTTAAAAATTCAGAAGCTCCTATCATGAATTGTATAGAAGATACTTTAAAAATCAAATGCATTTTAGTCTCTGCAAAACACCAAAGCATTCATTACTGGTCAAACATTTTAGATGCATATCTGCGTAACACAAAACTGTCACAGGTCTAATGGTCATATATAAATAATATTTGAAAGCAAATGGCATAACTTATTTTTAAATCAGGAGTTACCAGTTCTCTCAAAAATTTTACTACAATGAGTTTATAATACAATATTGATAATCATTTAGTCTAATAGCTGTTGATACAAAAGTGACACTATTCCACTACACAAGCACCGAGTAGCTGAATTCTTTAGTTACAGAGTATATGACTAAAAAAGTCAATTAGCTATGCTTAATAAGCTATGTATGACAGACTGCTATTTTATTAAATATTTAACTTATCTATTAACAAAGGCCACACCTCCAAGAAACTGCTTGGCTGGTACATATTTCACAAATTATTCTTAAACATTGATACATAGTAGTAGTTTCTACAGGCCAATGATATTGAGGCCTCATTGTTCTAGGCCCGGTCACCTTTCGTATGTTTGTACAATCACTGAAATAACTAATACAATATAGTTTGCATGTAACTAACAAATACTATCTTGTAACAGACTGTTCTGCATGTACTCAATAATCATGAGCTTTACAAAACTTTTTGGTAGTTGCACAGTAAGTTATTCATACAATAACTGAACTATTCTTAATATACTTGTAACTAACTTTTGGGAACTTTTTTAAAAAAATCTGTAAACTGAACCTATTGTGCTGTGGCCCATTCATCAGAGTAGAAGAAACTGGACAAAGGTAGCATAGGTCATTAGTTTTAAAATAAGTTTGTCAAAATCTTTGAGTGTTTTTCCTTTTGCAATATTCCTAAAATTGTGCATACTGTATATTTCAAACAAATGTCAGCATTACTGAAAGTTGCTAATTTCAAGCTACAGAAGTTAGTCTCAAAATCAGTTACTTTGAGAAAGTCACTGTGGGGATTTAAAAAAATGCATTTAAATAGGGACACTGTCACAGTTTATTTTTTTAAAATCTAGTATCTTAGTTTAAGAGCTTATGTTCATAAAAAACTATTATGAAAAGCATATAGCTACTAAAATAAGTATTTTGCTATTAAAAGCAAAAATACTTCTATATACCAGAAGTTTTTTGCATTATGCTGAGTATCGTTTAAGAATGTCAGATAAAAATCATTGAAGGGTTTAGCCAAAAATACTAAATGAAGTGTTAAAAATTCAATGTGAATCTATACCCTTTCATTTAGAATCTGCCTGTTCACAAGAGAAAGTTTGTAAGTTGATATCTTTTCCATATGTGCTATCACAATTAAATACTAGGTAATATGATAAAGTCCTTCCTTGTATCTTTTGCATAAATATTTAAACAAAACATCATTTATAGGCAAACATCTAGCACAGACATCTACAGAATTATTATTAAAGATCACCGGTTAGTAGTTTTAAAAAGCTGCAAAATTAGGTCAGGTCTCAAAACTCGTGATGCACAGTGTAGATTACTGCAATATTGTCCAAGAATTGCAATTTTTAAATGAAAAACATTTAGTTTCATGTGCCAAATTTTGCCTTCAGGATTTGTCAACATTTAATGTACTATGTCAACATTTAATGTACTACTTTATAATTGAAAGCAATAGTTTAGATGCTTCCCTCATCATCACACTTGATTTTTAACTAAAGCGTTATTGTTTTCATGCAATTTTTATAAACTTGCAGTATTTTTAAGGGAGAAACTAGCATTAGCTTCTGTTCTTTTGTTTGCTGGTGTTTTTTTTAAACAGGGAAATCTGTTCTCTCCTTGTGGAATCTATATGCTTACATTACATGGTGCTTCACAAGTTGCCATGTGAGTATTATAGCTACACTTACAAATGGACCCTGTTCTAGAAAAGTTTCTCATAAATAATACTGTACAACCTGTTGTGAATGGTACTATATTCCATCAAACTTAGTCTTCCATGCATTTATTTCAGAGTTTTATAATTAAACAGCAAACTTCAACAAAATGGTAGTTCTTTGTAATTACATTTATTGAATTATTTAACAGTTCAAACTGAGTTTCTATGCACTTTATATTAAAAAAGCATCCATCCTATTTTCACATCAACTGCCATCAAAAAGAACTTTACAAAAGAGAGTAAGAGGCTTATTGAGGTTGTAAGTTTTCCCTAAGATGTAAAACTACAAAGTATTTGTGCATGCTCACTATTTTAGTTGCTTCTTTGTACATGGTTAGGAGCTTTAAGTCTATGGAATATAATTATTTTCTTCTCAATTAGGATACATAAGAACAAAACTGTGATGAATAAAGCTTCTTTCCCAAAAAAGTTGAGGCAGCTTTTGTTGAACAGTATCTGTATTGGTGCATTTTATATGCTCTTGCAGTTTGGAAATATCAAAGAAAGTATCCTTTTTCATTTCAGATCTTGAAAAATGTTTCAAATAAGTCTTGAGAACAAGTTGCAAAGAAATACAGTTGTGTGTGTGGAAGGGAGGAGGGGAAGCAGCAGCATGATTCTTATGTACAGCCTAATGCCATGCACAGTTGCTCAGTATTTCAGGGTAACAGAAAAGAGTCATCAACTTAACATTATGTGAAGGTATATTCTCCACATGGCACTGCTGTTCCTTTGGAAATGGGGAAGCAAGCATGGGGGTAAAGCTTATGTCTATATTTCATGCATAGCTATTGTGCCTTTCCCTGCTTCCATAGTCTACCTTCATATATCAGAACTAGAACTGAGGTTTGTTAACCTAGGGTCTGCGTTGATCTCGTATCTGTAGTGATATCCCTCCATGTGATCCCTACATGCATCTCTGATATTGTACATCCACTTTTTGATTCCTTTTCGGTTCAAATACAAAACCAGAAGAAAAATGGCTCCAATGAGAGCCAGCACTATCCCTAAGAAGACATACGAAGTTTGCAGTTGGGACTGGATGTCTACAGGCACAGAACAGTCCAGGTCTGAGCTGCTGGTTTTCACCAGGGGTTTGTCCTGCATCTTTTCAGGAAGACACCTGGTCACTCTCCTTCAGCCAGTTCACCAAGTGCTGGATGCAGCAGTCGCAGACCCAGGTGTTGTGGCCCAGGTTGATCCTGTGGAGTGCGGGCAGGCTGCGGAGCTGGGCGATGGTGGCATTCTTCAGGCACTTCAGGGAGTTGTGGCTGAGGTCGAGGCTCTGAAGCTGGGCCAGGCTGTGGAAAGCCACGGCATGCAAGCTAACCAGGAAGGTGTTCCGCAGGTCCAGATGCTGTAGGTTAGGCAGAGAGGAGAACATGCCCGCGGGCAGGAAGAGCAGCTTGTTGTCTGCCAGCTCTAGGCGACTGAGGTTGCCCAGCACCCCCCAGCCCAGCAGCTCGGCCAGGGCAGGCACCACGCTCTGGTTGCTGAGGGAGTTGCTAAGGTTAAGCTCCTCCAGGGGGCTGCTGGCGTTGCCGAAGGCCTCGGGGCTGAGCCTGGCCAGGTCGTTGCTGCTCAGGTCCAGCTGCCTCAGGCTGGGCAGGCTGGCGAAGGCACCCGCCTCCACCTGCTGCAGGTGGTTGCCGCTCAGGTTAAGGAGGCTGAGCTCGGGCAGCGGCGGCGAGAGGAAGGCGCCGGGCTGGAGGCTGGCCAGTTGGTTGCCGGTGAGGAAGAGCAGCCGCGTGTAGGGCGGCAGGTCCTGGGGCACCGCAGTCAGGTTCCTGTTCACGCACTTCACCGTCCGGGCCGCCTCGGAGCACTCGCAGGGCGCCGGGCAGGAGCCGGACTGCTGAGCCGAGCCCCAGCCCAGCAGCACCTGCAACAACAGCCCCAGCGCCGCCCGCCTCTCCCCGACCGGGGCAGGAGGCGTCGCGCCCCGCACAGCGCGCCCCGGCATCCTCGCGCCACTCGAGCCCCCCTCTGGCTCGCCCTGGCCGGGATCCGGACGCCGGACAGAAACTCTCCGCTCGGGGCACGGCCCGCTGCCCGCGGCGGGTGCAGGAGGCGAGCAAGGCAATGCCCGGGGCGCCTCGCACGCAACCAGCCGCTGCCCTTCGCTTGCTTCCTCGGCGCGGGGAGCCGTCCCCTGAGCCCCAGCGAGACCTGCAAAGAGCAAAGAAATGGATAAAGCAGCAGCACTTCGCCCCGGACCTTTGTAGCCCCCTCCCTGGCACGGAAATAAAGGGAGACCCTCGCCCCCACTGCTCCCCAACACTCGCAGGTAGGGGCCCTTCGGGGTCACTGCCTGTCCAGCACAGCCCGGCTCCCCCTGCACCCTCAGGGGAAGCTCCCCCCCACCTCGGAGTCAAACAAGCGCCAGCTATTCCCATCGGAACCGGCGCCCCGCCCGGCCCATCACGA